GTTTTAATAAAATTTTGAATGTAAGACACTTAAACCTTGTGTCATGCGCAGTAAAGGGTACCCGGGGCGATAGGGTTAATTTAAAATTTTTAGAAATGAACAATTAATTATTATTTTAATTAATGCGTCCTGCAATCTGTGAACATATTATTTGTGAAATACTTCAGGCATTTATTTCTGAAAGAAAAAAAAATTCATATTGATGTGACAGTTAATAAGCAAGATATAACTAATTATAGAACAGCACATATGTTTCTGTACTTATATAAAAATAAGCCTTGGCTGTCATGGAAGAGTTGTTTAACTCTAAAGATGGCAGTGAAAGATTTAATGTAGAAATGAATCTTCTTTATATAACATTAATCAGTGGTTATGCTAGCTTATTTGTCTATGTTTTCCAAAATCCCAAAAAATGTATGTCCTGTCTTGCGGGAGTTCATACAATTTAATATGTGGCTTTTTCTCAAATTGTGTGTTCAGTAAGATACATTTTCAGTTTTGTATTGGATAATTATTATTTTCAAAGGTTTCTGTGAAAATATTTTTATGAATAAGGAAAAATAGAGACCCCATCAGAAAACCATTTTTCTGTAAAACATTTTCATGCATTATAAACAACTTTTGATCATAGTTTAATGTTATAAAAGTCAATTTAATATATCTTGACTTTATTGTTAAACTGTAGGATAATTAATATTGTTGTCATCATCTTGCGATTAGAAGCAAGTACGTCTTACATTGAACTTACACTGTATTTTTGTTGTTTGTCAATTTTTAAATACGTGATTGAAAATAAATCTTTTTGTAATTTGTGGTTTTGTATCCTCTGTAATACCTTACTATGAAACAGTTTTAGTATTCTTGTGAATCAATTTACAATAAGTTGCAGGTTTTATTTTTGGTTCAATTTTCATAGATCCAGCTTACTCCAACTCAACTCCAATTAATTCGAATGCAAATGCAGGGACAAGCTGCAAATAGCCAGCCAGTAATTATTCAAACATCCCCTTTGGCTCAAGGAGCAACTGCTCAAACTGTTCAACAGGCTGCACCTCAGGTAAAAAAATTTGCCATTTCAACTTTGTTGTTTTTTTATAGAGTTCATGAATCAAATTATTTTTCTTTGCTTAAATTTGGAGAATTAAATATAGCTGATACAGTTGTGTGTGAAAGAAACTTTTCTTTTTCCATGGTCAGACCACTTCTTTTGTATGAGTATCCTATATGCTAAGTGAAGACAAGTTGTGGGTTAGACTTTCCAGAAGATGACCCCACAAGGTAGATTCCTGTATGTGGTGAGATGACCTCCCAGGATATGTTCTGTATCTTCAGTTTACCTCCTCTGAGATCTGAACATCCATCCACGTTTGCCATGTGTGGCATCCCATGAAGGGGAGGAGAGGATCCTGGTGGTTGAGGGGTGTCATTGATGGGACAGTTTATATATGTGGTACTTCAATACACTTTACGTTTGTGGAGTTGTTATGAATGTGAGAGGCGGCATCATTTTATACATGAATTTTCTAAGGTTTACCCCCTGACGTTGGACAGTGTCATTGGAGATGGTGACACTATCCGGCTTGACTGTGTTTTTAGATTTTTGTGAGCCATAGGCCTTTTTAAATCTACTTAAGCTACTTAAGTTTTTTTATCTGATTTTTGGGCTTTAAGTTTTTAACTTGATTTGTTTTTACATTTTATAGTTTTTTACTTCTGGCATTTTTACCGGTTGTTTGGCACAAATAGCCCAGTGGCATTGCACCAAAAAATGCCAATCAACCAACTAGAAGTTGACACTGATGATATATTATGCACTTGAAACTATAGGTAGTCAACCATACTAACCTTAAATAGTTGTGTTTTCTGGATCCTCATGCATGTTTCTAACCACATATTCATATCTGATGAATATATTTATAACCAATAGAAAAAACATTTTGTCCTCCACAACAAGCTTATTAAAGTATTTCTTTTGTGTGGGCATATGTAGACAATTGGCCTTAGATTCTTTATATGTGATCAATGTTGTTAAACTCCAAGCAGCTAACAGAATTTTTTAAACCTATTTATGACTTAGTTAGAAAGCAAGTTAAATTATAGTAGTTTTGGGGTATTATAGTTTAATGCCTAATGTATTTTTTGTGATCTAATATGTATGATTTTTTATTTGAACAACTAACTGAGTGAAAAAAAAACAAAGTGAGACCTTCCAAATAAGTACATAAATCACAAGTGTAATGCACTTTGCTCATGGTGTTTTCAACAGATGGCTAATGAAGTTTTTCTATGATTTATTGCTTTTGACAGAGGACAGTGGTCCAAAGTACAGGCAAAAAAAACCCATAAAATTAAAAAGAATACACACATGAAAGGGTTAACAGTTGAAAATGTGAATATAATAAAATTGAGAATCTTGCAAATTGAAGTGTTTAAAGAAAAAGTAAAAGGTATTGTTCATTTCAATTCATATTTTGCAACTTTACTTCGTACACTGATGATTTTGCTACAGTTAGTGTTGTGGTAGAGAAAATAAATAAGAAGTTCTAAAGGTTATGCAAATAAAATATTGGTGAAAAAATTTTTTAATCTTAACCTGAAAATCATCTTCCACTCAAACTTCTCAGTCAGACAAACTTGGTAAAGGCATCTTAAGTTCACAGACGAGAGTCTAGTTAAACATACTTTATTAAATATTCAATTTTTTTCTATATAATGTTTTGGGAAGATACACATAATAAATTCAGAATTATAGTAAATATTATCATGTATAGCTTCACAGAAATGGGATCAGTCATCAGTGCACCAATGCCATGCTCTTTTGTTTAACCAATGGTCTCTTTTCAGAATCATATAGTTGTCGTTGTTTATCTCACTTTGTGTTCTTTGAAACTAATCTACAGCAGGTGGCTTTAGATGTATATATATTTGTATGTTTCATTCACCTAATGTTTTTTTATTATGCATACTTGTTTTGTTGTAATTAGAGAAAACAATTAATAATGAGAAAATAATTTAGTTGTGATTCTAATAAAACTGATACAAGAAAGCCTTCACCAATAATTTATGTAGTTTTGAGTGTGATACCATTAGTAAAAGTGTTGAGTAAGTTAACAAAACTTGACATACTGAACCATGGGAAACAAATACCCAACTTGTGCCTTCTGAAAATTTTTTATGTTTTACTCACTGTAGTAACGTGACTTTTCATAAATTCTAAAACTTAATTTACAACCACTACACAAGTATTAACTATAAACATCCATGTTGTAAGCAAACATTAAAATGTAATGTATTAATATGTTTATCATAGAATTAATGTATGTTGGAATAGATGTAGAACAGTCAAAAAGTTAACTCCATTAAATTAAGTGATAGCAAACTTTTTAGTGAGACTACTATTATTTTATGGGGTAATGTGAATGAAAACAGTCTAAGTAGATGTGTGATGGATTTCAGAATGATGTATGTTTGCCAAATAAAGTATGCTTAACTAAAGTAAGCCTGTTGAAAACAAGACATTTATTTATGAACTTGCAATACATATGCAGTGTTTCATATAAAAGATAACGCTTTGATGTCACATTCACTCATGGTATGAGTTCGTATCAAAACAGTTTCCGTACGTGTATATAAGGGTACAAGTTTACATCAGCAACAACCTTATTAACCATTATATTAGATTTATTTTATTTTCACCAAAAGTGAAATTGTAAATATAATATCTGTGACATAGAGACCTAATATGTTCTCTGATTTGCTGTGCCTTCTGCTGGTAACTGCAATTTTGCCTTTTCAAAGTTCATCAGCACAGCTTAAGTCAGCAAGCCAAAGAAATAATTAGATGTGATTCAAGATTTGTTTTGACCTGCAATGATAAGTATCTTATTACTCCTTCCACCTCCTACCTCCTTATTATCATTATCTGTTTATAAGTTTACATGATTCAAGCTTTTATTTATCCTGCAATGGTAAGCATCTTATTACTCCTCCCATACTCTTTATCCTTATTATCATCACCTGTTTGTAAGATTGTGATTTAACCTTATTACTCCTTCCTACCTTCTGTCCACAGTATAAGAATTCAGACCTATTTACTTCTTCCACCCCTCCCTCCTTATTATCACTACATGTTTATAAGATTATCTTATACTTTATGATGAAAGTTTTATTTTATTTTTTGTTTTTGTTTTTCCTCCTTCGCTGTTAGTTTTAGTGTGTCTGTACATCACCCAGAATTGACTGGTTCAAGTACCATAGCTTTTGATATTGAATCTGCTGGTGTACTGGGGCTATTTTTATTTTAAGATTTTTTCTATGAGAAGGGGATAAAAGCCTACTTTTCTTTATACTAATGGTACTAGTACACTAAATAATTTTTATTTACTTAAATCATGCAACTAAGAACATAATAATAACATGCATAAAGTAAACAATGTCCTATAAGTATCATAATTTTTCTGCAACTTTAGCATAAGAGCCTTTAAATCTTATCTTAATCTTGTTGATCTGAAAACTGCAAAAGAAACTTTCAAACTGAAGATGAAATAAATAATTCTCTATAGTGAAAACAACGTAATATGTCATTTGATAGACCTTGGTTATAAATAATATGGTATAAAACTTCAGTGAGAAGTAATGGCAGTTTGTGAAAGAAAGGATGTGGCAAGTGGGTCTGATCTTCTAATTTATGACTCTGTAAACAAATAAGATTGAATTGTATTTTTGTTATATTGTCCTTCCCCCAAGCTATGTTGTGAAGATACGTTATACACCAACCTACATATTGCACATCTTCCTCACTTAGCATGTCTTTAGGAAAAGAGCCTTAAAACTATACATATTAGTCCATCCAGTGTTACAATCCTTGATGAGTTCTTTTCCAATATATACATCAGCCACTCGAAATCCTTTTATATCTGCTATTGTTGCTTTTTCTTTTCTCTTCCTGTAACTGCAACACATATAGTAAAGACAAATCTATTCTCTTCCTGTAACTGCAACACATATAGTAAAGACAAATCTATTCTCTTCCTGTAACTCAACACATATAGTAAAGACAAATCTATTCTCTTCCTGTAACTGCAACACATAGTAGTAAAGACAAATCTATTCTCTTCCTGTAACTGCAACACATGTAGTAAAGACAAATCTTTTCTCTTCCTGTAACTGCAACACATGTAGTAAAGACAAATCAAAACACTGCCCACATCGCAGTAACACACTTTGTTCCACGTTTCTTCTTTCTTGTTCCAGTAATTCTATGTCCAATTTCGAGTTACATCTGCATTTCGAATTTACACTGCTTTCTTTACTTCATGTCATTGTTTCACTCTTGTTATTAGTTCTAGTTTATTCATATCACATTCAATATTGTTACGCTTGTTCTCATATGCCAGTTCTCATTTTTCATTTTCAATCAGTGATTCAACTAATTCTATTAATTTTGCTTATTAATATTGTCTAGAATACTTGTATTTTATGATCTACTAACCTCGTCAGTTTATTATTAAGCTAATCTAATTTTGTCTTCAATCTGCACAATCTCTTTACATCCTAATTTTCATTTGAGGATTTACAATCATTCAGTTCGATCACTTCAGTAGCCTCTGAATATGACAATGTTTTAAGCATCTTAATCAGAGCCAATTTGTTATGTGCTTTGTAAAACAGTATGCTCACTACACTACACTACTACTAAACATAGTGTTATGAGTACTGAATTAGATAACTCCCACTGTCGTTTTCTGCTGTAGCTCAAATTTTCTACATGTTGTTGAAACTCTTTAATTGTTAACTCTTCTTCTCTCATTTCCAAGTACATGTGTTAATGCTATGAAACAGTAATATATGGTTTTTTCTCTCTCTACATTTAAAGCCAAATAGTTATTTACTGCTAAAGGTTTCAACATTGTATCTGTTGCTTTCAAGGATATCTCTATAAACATTCTCAAGGTATCCCTTACCGCAACTGTCTTTACATGAGTCCACCTATAATACATGTAAATCTAATCACTATGTGTGGGAATGTGTAAATGTGGTGGTAATCTCCTTTCAATT